GATGAAGAGAGTTAATGTTTCTTGACCTCGGCATATGAAGGAAAGGTGTGGTCAGCACTATGCCCAGTCGCCTTTACTTTCCCTGTATGAACTAAAGAACGTTCATCTGACTTGGACCGGGATTTGAACTCGAGACTTTCGGGTTAGCATCCTAACGCTCTACCGCTTAGGACAAGCCGTCTCATCTATAGTTGACTTAGCACTCCCCAAAATTCATTTCGGCCTCATCATCACTACTTCATTAACGGGTTATTTTGAAATTAATTAGATGTCATCAAGCAAACTCAGCTCGCATGAGTACCTGGCATGAATTAGTCAAATGGTAGATTTGTCTGTCTAGTCTCTCACAAGCAACGACAACAAAATCTGTGAATAGACCACTGTTGATTGGTGTTTCAAATAGATTACTGTTATTTTTTAAGTTAGGACTAGTTAGGTTTAGCGTTTTCCTTTAAGATCAGAGTTACACTTAAGATCAGTGGGTTTTTTTAAGGATCAGTGTTCGGCTTTGCAAGATTTCACAGCTTTATTAAAAATTGATATTATTTAAAATTAAATTAGAACGGGCTAAGTTTAAAGTGTTTTGCATATCCATTTTACGGTAAATGGAGGGTACGGTTTTTAGACCAAGGTTTAGGACCCGTGTTAGTCATTGGAGATATAATTTTTTTGTTTTGTTTTTTAAATGGTATGGTGAGTCCGGCCTTATAGACCCTTATTGTGTAAAACCGTGATAAAAAGTAAAGAAAAAAACGTGAGGATCAGTAGCAACACTGTGTTGGTCAAATACTGTTTTTAACTTTTTTTTTAAAACCACAGTGTTTCGGCTTAACATGGGAGCTAACCCAAGCCCCTAGTGACAGACGGAGAAAAAAATGGGTTTTTAGGTGGACTGGAAGTTTTCTGAGAGGCGAGGGGCGTGAAGCCGGGGAACTTCTTCAGCATGGGGGAGAACGGCGCAAAGGGACATAACCCATTTGTTATTGAAACACTAGCGATAAGGGTTATAACCTCGACGGAAGGGAGATAATTTCAAATTTGGGGGTGTGGGGTGGGGGTGGGTCTGGGGGGTACTGGGAGATCTTGATTCAGGTATGTAGGTTTACAAGGATGGCCGGGGGTGTCCGAATGGCAGGTGTCACTTTTTGGAGGTGTTCATCGACGGGGGTAGGAATCAATCAACATCTATCATCGTTTTGCTGTCCACCCCCCCCCCCCTTCCTGGATGTACCCGCATATCTCTCCATGGCACATCCCCCCCCCCAACCCCCACCCTTATAAATCCCACTATTGTGTAGAGGAAAAAAAAACTTCTATATTTTTCTAGTCTAGAATAAAAAGAAAAAAGTATTTAATATTTACTTTATTAGACTTTGTGGTATAGTTTATCTTGCTTTTTGTAGCGCATTGAGAAGGGGGTGGGGGCTAGCCAAACCTGTTGGGGGCCAGTGGCCCACCTAATTTATAAACCCCATCTGGTGCTTTATGAACTTAGTGTTGTATAATAGCAACAGAGTACCTGAATAATTTACAATGGCTTAATACATCGTTAAGAATTTCTAACTTTAACTACGAACATAACATTAGACAGATTCCCAACTGCTAGCTATAAAAACATTGACATACCAGCTGTAACTGATCTTAGAATTTATCCTAAAGAAACCAATGGTGCTTGTGATCTAAGTTATGGACGCCTACTAATTGCTGTAGTCAATTGTATAGTGGTGTTTCAAGTCAATTAGGGGTCACTAGTCATCAAGTTAATTAGGGCTCAGTAATCCTCAGGTCAATTACGGGTCAGTAGTCCTCAAGTCAATTATGGGTCTGTTGTTCTCAATTAGGGGTCAGTAGTTCTCAAGTCAATTAGGAGTCAGTAGTTCTCAATTAGGGGTCAGTAGTTCTCAATTAGGGGTCAGTAGTCCTTAAGTCAAAAGGGTCAGTAGTCCATGTCCATATATTGAAACAAGTACTAGAAAAGCTAGATAAACAATACAACAGCACAAGACTAGCAAAAGAACATCATTAGACTTCCACTAGACCACCACTGGACCATCAACAGAACATCACTGGACCACCACTAGACCACCATTAGACCATCACCGGACCACCACTGGACCACCAACAAAACATCACCAGACCACAACTAGACCACCACTAGACCACCACTAGACCACAACACCCGTGTGTTAAAAGAACAGCTGAAAAGATTTCAAGAGAACCAATCTCTTATTACACACCACACTAAACACAATTTTAACCCTCGACTTTTCCAGTATATTAACTTTAACCTAAGCGTATAAAGTTAAAAATTAATGTATTCATAACAATAGCTTCGATTTCGGTATCCTGGAAACACGGGCAGTTAACTCTACGTGTCCACACGCCCTTCGGTCAAGAACATCACCTGCTTCATGCTAGAGTTACTCCTCTTTGTAAAGGAGTTTGTCCCCTTGAAAATAAAACTTTGTAATCGATGTATTTTTGCGTGTTCTCTGATATTGGGTATCTAATTCATCTAAATCAAGGGTTCTCGTATACTGGAGTTAGTTCCCCTGGGCGTGTCCGAAATCTTTGTATAGTGCCTGACAAGAAGACAATTTATGTTAGGGGTCAGCCATAAATGACGTCACAATACTCTTTGGTGTGGGTGGTGTGTGAAGATGTGTGAGAGGCGGTAAAAAAACTGCTGGGGTATGGGGTGCATTTAAAAAAAATTTTAAAACAGAATTTTAGTGGGTTTTTTTTATTTTTTTTTTTATTTTTGTTACAACTTATAAACAAATTGTAATGAAAATTAATCACTGGACCTTTTATTGATTAATCATTCAATATTGAATAGACCTCAGAGGCGTAGCGACCCTCCCCGGCGACCGGGGACAAACTTTTCGATTTGCACCCCCCCCCCTCAAACTTTCGATTTGCACCCCCCCTCAAGATTTCGATTTGCACCCCCCCCCCTCAACCTTTTGATTTGCACCCCCCCCCCCCTCCTCAAACTTTCAATTTGCACACTCCTCAACCTTTCAATTTATTTTTCCAACCCATTTTGGCGCCCCCTAAGGTCGGCGCCCGGGGACATATGCCCCCCCCCCCCCGCCCCCTCCCCCCCCCCCCCCCCGCCTCCCCTCGATACGCTACTGATATACCTATGCGATGTTATCGGCAAGCACACTCTATACAGCAATCAAACACTAGCTTGTTAATGATCAAGTAAATCAATATGTAGAGGGGAAACAATTCAATAATATAGAAATAAATTGCTATCTCAACAAAAAGAAATAATGTTTTTGGTGGTATTGACATATTTTTTAAGACGGCATTAAGGCGTGACTTAATTAGTGTACGAATCCAAAATCTTATACCGATATAAAGCGAAACGATTTGTAAGACTAGTTGATTTATCTATTTTGCTCTAACTTCTCTTTATGTCTGTTCTACCTCTTCGATCTTTCTTATTCTCTTCCCCTCTCTTTTCTCCTCTCTTTATCTCTCTCTTTAACTCTCTTGATCACTAGTCATATCTCAGAAATTTTAAAAGAACACAACTAAATTATATAAATACTGTTGTGTTTTCTTTTTAATTTAAAACCTTGATATATTTTTTTTTACATTACTTATCATCTAAGGGAATATATTCATACAATGATTTTGCTCATAGTATTTTCAAGGTTACTTCCCTTCTATCTCAACGTATTGCCTTCTACGGATAAGTTGGGAGGCACGGGCCCTTAACTAAGGGAAACAACCAATTATTACTCATTCAACTTACGAAAAAATGTAAAACATATTCAGTAGGTACAAAATATATGTTATTTAAAAATAATATTAAACGAATTTTAACACAATTTTAAAACTATAGAACTTTTTACTTTTTTCTTTGGGTCCAATTTTTAAAGTATTATTTGTCTAGAAAGAAAACCAATAGCTTTATTATATTCTTAATTTGAAAAGATGTGAACACTGAAAATACTGGGTTACATTATCGGTTGTTAATGCTTCGTCGTCCAAATCTACCTCTCCACACAAAGATGTCACGCTACTCAAGACCGCCAAATTCTTCTCTATACGTTGGAAACGTTCCTGATGGCTGGCACACGCCATGAAGAGTTGAGAAGCATGTTTGGAAAGTATGGACCTATCACAGATGTCTCTGATCCTTTGGACTATTACACCAGAAGCCCTCGTGGATTTGCATACGTGCAATTTTAAGACCCTCGTGCTGCAGATGATGCATTATATCATCTTGATCGCACACGATTTTATGGAAGAGAGTTAGAGATTGATTTTGCAAGAGGAGACAGACAATCCCCAGGTCAGATGGGAGGTAAAGAAAGGTCTTCACGTCGCTCTCCAGATATGATGATTATGATCGTAGACGCAATCGTTCTAGAAGTCGAAGCCCCAGAAACTTTTGTTTTCTGGTAGTGTAAATAATATTTTGATATTTTATCCATGATTCAAATACATTCTAATATTAAAAGGAAAATATTATTAAATTTTCGTACTTAAGATCTAATATCCTACAGATACAATTGTGTTCTCAATCAGGTATTAACATCAATTCCTTAATTACTACAGTTAAAAATAATCATACAGAAAAAAAAGGCTCTTTTTTTTGTTTTGATGATCTTGATAGCTAAGGGATTTTGGACATATGCGATTATTATTAATAAATATAGAATTTTTTAACCCCCATCATACCTCATATAAAATTTCCATAAAATACCTCCCCTTATATCAGGCCTATATAACAATTCAAATAATAATATAAATAGAGTAAAACTGGTTCTAAACAATTTTAAGCCAATGGTCCCATCCTAAATTAACCCGGCCTTGTATGTAGCCCCAATAACAGTTGGTACACCTGAGAACATGATTCATGTTCTGGAGGTATATTCTGCCGCCATAAATAACACATATTTTTCTCTCCACATAACAGAAAAAATACATACAGCAGAAAATGTATTTATTTATATAATAGATACAAAAAACACCTTAAAAATTTAGTATATCTTTATTCATATTTTGTAAACATGACTCTTGTAACAAAAACAATTTTTTCTTGCAGTAAAAATAATTCTTTACTGTTAGTGTAGAACTATTGTTTTTTTACTTATTTTGTTAATTTTGCCAAAAAAAAATATTTTGAACTGAAAAAAAAGTTTAACATCCACAAAACTATGATTAAAAATATAAATTTGTTTCATCAAATTATTCAGTTTTTTTAATAATTTAATAGGAACATATCAGCAGCAAATAGTACATGCAAAGACAACTTTAAATTAATTTTGGGAAATTTTCAAGAAATATTTTACAGTGAAATGTGGTATAATTTGTAAACAAAAAAACAATGCATTAACCAAGTTTTGATTATTAAAATGCCCAGTTCATACAAGACAATGGCGGGGACTTAATAATTATTTATACTACTTCTTTTTATAATAAAAAAAAAACTTGAATTTATTTTTCACAATTTTACAGTATGAAAAACAAATTCTAACATACTTTATGGGTTCCTTTTCAATAGTAACACTCATCTCTAACAAAAGTTATAGCACACATACAAAATTAAGCTTAGCCTTTGTAATCTCATTAATATACTGACGGCTAAGTTTCTCAAAATGTCACTCAAAATGTATAGGTTACCGGTTGGGGCATGATTAAAATAAATTTAAACCTAAACTATAATTGTAAAACATCAGAATAAAATAGTAAAATACTTGTCAGGATTTTTCTTTACAAAAACATATTTTACTATTGTAATATTTAGAAAATAACATTATTATATTATTTTAACTTTAAATTTTTAAATATTAATAGTGATATTAAAACTAAACTTTAATTAATGATGTTGAACTACTAATTTTATTTAAATTTTTAGAACCATTTATATTAATAGAAGTTATGTCAAATTAAATTTTTATAAATCTTTTATATATTATTAGTTATTAAAAATGATTTTACTATTCATTATTTTACTATAATGCATGTTTTAGTTTCTCACCTATGAATTGAGATAAAACAGTAAAGTAGGCCTAACTATCTTTTGATCACATTTTTAAATTTTCAGAATTTAAATATTTGATTAAAGCACCCCAGTTGTGACAGCCAAAACATAAAAATGTATTTACAAAATTCAATGTAAAATTTTAAATGTTTTAATTTATATATTACAATTTATGCTTTACATGGTAAAGACAATATGAAAATCAAGAAATGGCAGTCAGAAATACACTTGTCTTGGACTAAAATTGTTTATTCCATTATGCTGACAAAAACATTCAAAAATTTTAAATTTATTCTAGTTAATTAAATTTAAACTAATAAATTTAAATAATTAAATTAAATTAAAAATGTTTTAACAATTTTTTTATTTGGTACTCAAAAATATTAAATTTTAATAATTCATAACCGTTAGAATTTAGAGTTCAACAAAGAGTGATTTTCATGATTGGGTAAGTATAAAGACTCTAGATAGAGTAAAAAATGTGTATCTGTGATGGAAATTCTGATACAAAATATCAAATGGAATTTACTGTAGCAGGAAAGTACTTTGCCTATCTGTTTTAAGTTGTAATTTAAAATGTAATTGCATCAAAATAATTTGATTTAAAAAGCTGTTACCTAAGTCCTTTAAAATGATGATGTTTAATCTAAACACAAAGTTGGAAACACAAAAATGTTGAGTAAATTGTTTTTAAAATAAAGAAAGAACTGTGAAAAAGTAATGAGTAAAGTAGGGAATGTGCAAAAAATAAAATTTAGCTTATAAAAAGGAAAAATAAAATTTGAATATAATGACCAAGAGTACTGTCCCCTTTTGGCTATTGTTTTTTTTTTTTTTTTTTTTTTTTTTATTATCTTGGTCCAATTAGTCTTTTCATGAGTTTGCCTGATCTGACACCAGGGCTGTATAGTGACTGGCCAACAATTATCGTGACTGTGTTAAGACAAGACTTAATGCTGAGGGTCAAGGCTGGCAAAGTTCAAGGTTTCTTGTTGAGAGGGTCAAGTTCTTCCAGTGTGAAGTCGACTGCTCCAAAAGTGAGACCTCTGCTAAAACCATCCTGTGACATAGAAAATGGGAAAGGGGAGGGGGGGGGGGGGTAAATTAAAAGAATGGAATTGAATGAAAATAAAAATAAATACTGAAAAACAAAGTAAAATAAAATAAATATCTGTCCAAAGCAATGTTTTTTAATGTTTTTTAATGGGCACCAACGCAATAGATCGAGTCAAAGGCCTATTGACCCATTTTCTTTCACATGGGATTATACAACTGCTGACTGGTTTTAAAAAGATATTTTTAAAAATTAACATATTTGAAAATAAACCATATAAATACTTATGCTTTATAAAATAGTAGATAATATAAAAAAATTTTCTTCCAATTTTTAACCTTTTTTTCACACCCAAAAGAAATGTTCGGTGAATGGTTACCCCCCCCCCCCCTTCAAATATCCCAACTAGTGAGTGTCCATAAGCTACAATATTGAACTGCTGGTCATTGTATTATTAAGTTTTGATTATTATACCACAGTTCACATAAGAAAAAAAATCTGGGTTATAACTGATTAAAAAAATATAATCATAACTTGTTAAATAATGAGAAATTTTATTTTTTAAATAGGTACAAATTTCTGATTTTTAATTGCTACTCTTTAGGAACCTAATTTGCGTGAAAAACAAAATTTTAATGAACACTCTGGCCTGTATGGTAACTGATGAACATTATTTGTACTAGCACTTTATTCTAAGCTCACCTGAATGTCAATGAACTCTTGCTCCGAAGCTGCTGAGCTAGGGTTGAAGGCCTCCATACCAAAGGGGTCAATGGTCGCTGTTGATGTTACTGAAATACCCACAGTTTATTTCCACAATGAATCCACAATACTCTTCATTTTTACAAGATTTTATTTAGTTCACAATGTCTGTTTGTCTGTGGGTTTGTGGCAAATCTTGTAACTCAATTTTGACCAGCATCTAACGCAGCTAGTTCATGATCATTTACATATTTTAACAACCGATGCTTTTACGAAAGAAAGCAGATTAGTATTATTTTCTTACTTTAAGTGCATTTAAAAGGTTATGGCTATTGATGTTTAACATGTTTGTTGAATAGAAAACAGCAGGGTTAATCCTGTGGTATTAACATAAGATGCCAGATTTCAATTACGCACAGTTTACTCCTGATGTTAATGATAGATAATCAATTAAAGAACAAAACAAGTTAATAAAAAGTTTAGTGACAATTTAAGTGCAATTTCCTTATGTTATCTAAAAATAGCTCTGTCGTAGCGTAAAGCACACACGGGGACAAAACACAAGACATATAATGCTGGGGTGTGTTCAAGCTAGGAGAACGATCGGTTTGTAATTTTTTTTTAAATTTTGTGACCGAACGAAAGGATATTTTTGAAAACTTTCTTCGGCAATATTGTTCTAAATTATGACAGGAATCGATTGGTAAATGTTTCAAGTCACTAAGTGGTCTGGTTGCCGAGATATGGGCCAAAAACTGCATTTTTTCAAGGTTTTTTGGCTTTTCCGGGAAATCCAGGAAGGAATTCCGGGAATTTTTTTGGCCCACAATCATCCTTGGAACTTGCTTAACATATTTGCTTTTGGAACTAGTGATATTGCTTCGTTGAGGAGGAGATATAACTTAAAGCTGCGGACACACATCCATACATTCATCCATCCATTCATCCAGAAATGACGCATTATTAAACGCAATTTTCTTTTTTTTTGAAATTGCGCTAAAAAATAACTACTAACATTCTGAAGCCAATAATGTTTTTAACATTAAAATGTATGAGAGAAAACACTCAAATCGTTGTAAATCTCGCAAAAATACTAAAAATTATTAAAGAATATAAAACTTAAAATTAAAAAGCTGGTTATCTCCCTTATTGTTTCAGTAAGAGTTGCCTATGTTTCTTTTTCTTACCTGACTGTGGGCTACTGGGTACACTCTGTGTTCTGGCTCTGTTTGACCTGGTCTTGGTTGGGGGTGGGCTCACTGGGGAGGGGAAAAATTTCAACTGTTAAACTTTAAAACCCAATTTTTTAACTCTTTCTGTGAAATGCATTGTTGACTTTAAACTACCTATTTTTTTGCGTCAAGAAATATGTGTATGATCCCTTAGACCTGTTGTTATACTTTAAGTAATTTTCATCATCATCATTTCCTGTTCATGCCCAAGTCAGATGGGGCAGATGAAGTAGAGTTCATCTGCTTCAGAGACCTTGGCATATGAAGTGATAGTGTGGTCAGTACTATGCCCAGCTGCCTTTATTTCCCCAATGAGAGTTAGGTAAACATCAGAGCTGGGTGGATATTCCACTGATTTGAACCCGGATTCGAACTTGAGACTCTTGGGTTTACAGTCTAGCTCTCTACTGATAGGCCATTAATATATCTAGGTGTGACAGGGGTGGTGGTTGGGTGGTAAATGATAGGTCTTCTAACCCACAAGTCTCAGGTTCGAGTCCGAGTCCAAAGGATGTTCCTGAGTCTACTCATTAGGGAAAGTAAAGGCAGCGAGGCATAGAAATGGCCACACTATCCTTTTATATGCCAAAGTCACACAGACAACATGTTAACTCTACTTCACCTGCCGTACTGACAACCAGGCTGGATATCTTCCTTTCTCAGAACTAGGTGTGATGGACTCAGTACTCACAGATGGGTGCCACAGGTCCTGGTGAATGTGTACCATTTGTGTTGGGGACCTTGTTGCTGACCTCTGTGTGCAGCATTAAATTCTCCAATCTCCTGCCAACAACAGCCGTCTGAGTCTGACAGAGGAAATTAGCACAAAAATTTTTTTTATTTTTCCATGATTTTATTTTATTTTAATAGTGTGTCATCATAAAAATATGCAGTGATACTAACGAGTAGCGGAGTTGTAAATAAACTTACGAGCAACAGAGTTGTAAATAAACTAATGAGCAGCGGAGTTGTAAATAAACTAATGAGCAACAGAGTTGTAAATAAACTTACGAGCAACAGAGTTGTAAATAAACTAATGAGCAGCAGAGTTGTAAATAAAGACCTAAAAAATTAGGGATTTTTTTGACTATGTTTCTGACTATGAAAATGAAACTCTTTTTTTATGCATGCACACACAAATTAATATATATGTCTGTATTTCTATATGCATTTTTAAATATACTTATATCTTTTTACATAAATATATACATGTTTGCATTTATTTACTTTAGAAGCGAAGTAATTATTTAACAGTGACAAAGCTATATGGAAGGATGTCTGAAAACACCTGAAAAAAATAAACATGATTGGCTACCTGTGGGCTAGAAGGTGAGACAGGTGTTAGGTCCTCGTCTGTTGAGCTCTCACCCAGTGATAAAGTTACTGTTTTGATATCAGTGATCTGCATGCAAGAAAATATTACACATTTCACATGCTCATTCAATTAGCCATCCACATTTTTTTTTTATAATTATTTCCTAGGCCTAAGTGCCATGCACTACAATGAAGAGTTGTATCATTAATTTTTTAATTATAAATGAATACTATAAGAAGCAGTAATAAATAAGTCAAAGCAATTTCACTAAAAGCTTAATTATGAAAATCACAGATCTTTAAGATGTGAAAGTATTTTAAGGATTAATAAATTTTAACAAGATGCAACTTTATATATAGGTATCAGATCTTTTTATGCATGCGGTTTTGAGTAAAGTTCATTACTCCCAAATATTTCTTTTTTAAAAATTCAGATCAAATACAAATAATTGTTTTTAGAATTGAAAATATTAATGTTGGTTTCCATTTCATTAAAAGATTACAATTGTTTAGACTGGAAAACTTTTTCCCCATCTCCAGAAGAAACAAATTCAATCATTGAGAATTTATTTCCTTGAATAATTTTTTGTTCTGCCAGTATCCAATGTATTTAATGGTATTTTTTAAGATAAAATATAGATAGAAGATATTACACTGCGTTAGAAATTCTGGAAATAATTTACAAAAATGTTTACCTGATTATTGTGCTTATACTCCTCAATATCTGATCTGTCTTTTAATTTCTCAACTGCTTCCAAACGTTTACGAAGACTATCATTCTCAAACTGTAATGTCTGTATCTGTTTAAAAAAGAGTGTTCCATACTTTAACACAGCAAAAAGGTTTTAACCATTTGTAAAAGAGTACCATATTTTAACTGAAGATTTTAACTTTAGGCCTAATATTTATTTAAAAAATGATTTAGTTAATGAGAGTTACCTACCCTTTTCTGTAAGAGAAGTAACTGTTTCCTAATGTCCACATCACCAGCAGATGTTTCTAGAAACCGCTTGTACGCCAGATCAAAGGCTTGACCAATGGTCAGTGTGATTTCTTCAGCCTGTAAATAATTATATTTAACTTAAAAAAAGTTTAACTATATTTTTGAAACGTTTACTTTAAAGTCTAAACGAATTGAAATTAGGCGTTTAAAAACAAAAGTATAACCTACACATTTCTCGCTGTCAAAAACATAGCAGAAGTGTTTGTCCCCTGTGGCCTCCTTAGCAACAAAGGTAAACATCCTCTTGTCTGATTTATCATCTGCGCAGTATGAAATCCTGTGTAGAGGATACTGGTGCATCACTGTCTGTAATGGTGAGAATTTTACTGACATTAGTAAAAATGGGTGGGTTGGTCACACACTGCGAAAGGCTCACCCAAATGTTACATGCCAAGTGCTTGAGTGGAACCCCATGGGAAAGCGGAAAAGAGGGCGCCCAAGACAGACCTGGAGGCGGAGTCTTCTCGAAGAACTGACGCCAACAGGGATGTCTTGGGAGATGACAAAATTAATAGCCGGGGATAGGAAGAAATGGAAGGAAATGGTGGAGGCCCTATGCTCCATAAGGAGCAAAGAGGACTAAGTCAAGTCAAAGTACACAATCAGTTGGAAAATAGATAAGTTTAATAGCTGGGGACACCTCGATAGCTGGGGTCATCTAGGAGAGAAAACTCCAAAATCAAACAACTGCTGCCATATAGTTTGTGCTTAGCTGGACGCATGCTATGAAAGCAAATCCAAAAAAGAACAGCAGGCTGAAATCAGAGACAATGTGCCATTTGACACAAGTCGACACAAAATACTTAATTGTTTTGGAGAAAATCAAGTCTAACATTAAAATAAAGAACAATGAAGAAGAAGAAACTGGATTTTAACAATGGACTAGTAGAAATGACTATTTCAAGGGAAGCTATAATGTGAGAATTTTTATTTCTCCTGAATATTGAATTGCCTACCCTTGACTTTGGTTCCAGAACTGAAACAGCATCAGCAGAGATGACAAGTTCAACTTTTGGCGGCTTCTGACCTTCTGCCCTTTTGATGTGTTTGTTGAACTGAAAGAAAATATCATTAATTATATTATTAGGCCTAAATATTATTAATTATATTATTAAATATTATTAATTAAATAACATTTTGTTATCATTCTAACAGTCATCCTAATGTATGCAAACAAATCTAATGTATGTTATGATTTGAGTAATATTCATATTCAATTAATTTTAATTTTGCAAAACTATGAGTGTAGTAAACGCATTAGCAAAATATTGTCAAATTAAACCAAACAGGGGAGATAATTTTTCAAGGGAGTTAAGTAAAATATATTATTGTTTCCTCGTTTAAAAAACTTCTTACCTTCATTTTTCTTATAGCATCTTTAACAATTTCTGTCCCCTTTGGTTGGTCCACCATACACTCGCCAAGAAACTAAATAAATAATGTGTTCTTAGTTACCTTTGGTATTATATATACAATAACTGTGTTACTAAATTTATCTTACACTTTATTAAACTTTTATACCTTAAAAGTACATTAAGTGTTAAAGATACCAATGGTTACTTATATAAACTTTCTTATTTCGGTTAATCCCACAAATTCCTATATTATGCATGTTATTTGTTAAGGGTAAACTAATAATAACATGATAAAATTTCAAACATTATACAAAAGCTATATTGCTTTAACACTATATTAATGCTTACTTACTATAACATTAAACAAAGCTTTCAACAACATTGTACTAATGTTAACTAGCTACAGCAGTATACTAAATATAACTTGCTATAACATTTTACTAATGTTACATTAATATTAGTATAAAATGTTGCTATACCATTGTACAAATATTAACTTGCTATTACATATTACTAATGTTAACTTGTTATAACATTATACAAGTGTAAACTTGCTATACCATTATACTAAGGTTAACTTGCTACAGCATTGTACTGATATTAGCACGCTTTAACATTGTACTAATGCTAACTTACTATAATATTGTACAAATTTTAATTTACTATAATATACTAATGCTAACTTACTATAATATTATACTAATGTTAAGTTACTATAACATACTAATGTTAACTTGCTATAACTGACCTTGACAGTGTACAGGATATGACCATTCAACAAAGCCTCTGGTGGGTGCCTCCATTGTTTATTACCTGTTGAAAGAAAAAGTTACCTTTAATCAACTTATTTCATTGTTAAAGTCAAATGTAATTAAACTAAAACCAGAATAGCAAATTTGTGCGAAGTAACTAAACGCCTGAATACAGGTGTACAGGTTTTACAATTGTCCAATAATGGACTCTTCTGAAAATAGGTGTGTTAGGTTGTTAGTAGTATTATAATGTCATGTATTGCTTAGGGTCCGAAATTACTAAATTAGGGATGGGTTTTATGGTAGGACTTGAGTTAGGGTTTGGGAAGAGTTAGCATTGACATTAGCAAGTTATAATAGTATTTAATTTAATACCAGTAACTTAACACCCTTTTTAAAGAAGATTCCATTATTATGTAGCATTATTAGATTAATAATGAAAAATCCAGTCAAGTAACTAAAAACAAAAATTGAGTACATTACTTCCCATCATAACATTTATATGAATAAAGAGAAAGTAACTCTAACAAAAAACCCACCTTTCCTAAACATGTTGAGTCCTGTATTATTTGAACTGTTTTAATCACACTGATCCACAGCTTAACATTGTCTAGATATGTTTGTTACACTTTGATTACACAAGTTAATTGATTTCTCTAACAATAGTTTTATCAGCAAGCCAGTCATCAAAAGTGGCAATTATCTACAGAGTTACCTGTATGCCGAGCCACAGGTGAGAGGAAATCAATCAATATCATTGAGATTTAAGACTTTTTAACACAGGTATTTTATACTGTTAGTTGATACCTTTAACTACAGCCAAGATTTTATACTGCTAGATTTCTTGTTTAATAACTATTGACATTTTTATACTGTATATTACAGTATATATGATTTAATTAATAATGCACATTTGAAACTTCTATACTACTTAATTAACTGATGGCACTGTTTGTTTCAGTTAATATTTTTTTTCTAGGGTGGGGGGTGTCATGAAACTATTGAAGGTATGTTTAGATTTCTGGGGGGAGGGTTGGACACAGGTTAAAGTATATATTTTCTAAATAAAATATATTTTTTGTTTCGTTCGGAATGTGGAGGGAGAGTGGTGGTCTGGCTGCAGCAGTAGCGTAGCGAGGGGGGGGGGGGGGGCGGGGGGGGGGGGACATGTCCCCGGGCGCCGACCTTAGGGGGGGCGCCAAATTGAAAGTTTGAGGGGGGGGTGCAAATGAAAAGTTCCAGGGGGGGGGGGTGCAAATCGAAAATTTTGCTCTCGAGGGGGCGCCAAATTGGAAGTATGTCCCCGGGCGCCGGGAAGGGTCGCTACGCCTCTGGGCTGCAGTAGAGCACTACCCCCCCACCCCCACCCAGCAATGTGTATTCTGTCTAGCCAGTAGCCAGAGTCGTCGTGAGGTGGGGGCGGGGTGCGGACAGCACCGAGTGACACCATTGGGGGGGGGGGGTGACACCAAGACAAAAAAAAATTGCAAGATTTATTGAATAAATATGATTTTACCAGGTCTATGAATGGTTAATTCGAGTTAAAAATTATTTTAAATATACATAATGTAATTATTAAAACTACATAATGAGGATCCCGATAAGAGACAAGGGGCGGGGTGAAACCATGACGTAAACAAGCAAACTTTAGATAAACATCGTTAGTATTAAATGTGAATACTTTAAAGTTTTAACTGGGGTGTGGGGTAGGGGATGATACCAACTGAAAAATTTACAGAGACAAAAAAGGGGGGTGGGTGACAACATGAGGTACCGCACCGGGTGACACCCGACCTAGGGACGCCACTGCCAGTAGCATGTCAATATTGTCGCACAGACGATTTTGCGAGACTTACAGAGGCGTAGCAACCCTTCCCGGCGCCCGGGGACAAACTTTTCGATTTGCACCCCCCCCCCCCCCCCCTCAAGATTTCGATTTGCACCCCCCCCCCCCGTCAAACTTTCGATTTCCACCCCCCTCGACCTTTCAATTTATTTTTCCAACCCATTTTGGCGCCCCCTAAGGTCGGCGCTCGGGTACATATGCCCCCCCCCCCCCTCGCTACGCTACTGGAAGCTTAAGAAGAAAACGCGTGTTTTATGTTTCCGCAAGATATGCATTTCATTCAGAGACTTCCCACGTGACTTGAAATCTGCTATTGTGATAGATAAAACCCACTATGTCAAGGGTGACAATTTTTTTTTTATCAGAAAAATCTGACAGAATTATCACCCGTCAAATCTAGCAGTGCTTCAATGGTGAAGGAAGAATGTGTTGTAACACACCAAGGTCAAGGCGTGTACAATATGTGTACTAAATATGATGTGTACTATATGTGTTGTATGCTCTCAGACTATATCAAGTCCAGAGAATGTTATACAACTAGTGTTTATTTACATATTCTAGTAGGTTATATCTACAAGTATGCCCAGTGTAAAGGTGCTAGATACCTAGTTAATTAGTGACTTTGAGACATGAAGATTAAGATTTAGCCTGATTAGTGAAAGAGCTTAGACTAGTCAGGCTAGTATTTATACAACCTGAGTATGTTTCACTGGGGGGGGGGGGGGGGGAGTCACGTACATAGAAGCGAGTTGAAATTTGTGTGTTCAGTTTTAATTATGGTGTGTTGATTTCTTCTGTGTGTAAAGAACGTGTATTTAACTGTGCTACTCTTTGCTTAACATTTCTAAAATCTAAATATAAATGTGTAGATCTAATAATAGACACAATGGGGGAGTCACGTATACAGAAAGTTGCATTTTTTTTCAGTTTTAATTATGGTGTGTTGATTTCTTCTGTGTGTAAATAACGTGCATTTAACTGTACTACATTTCTAAAATCTAAATATATATATATGCATGATGTAGATAATAGTGTTGGGTGTGTAAAGGTCTTGTTCAGATAAGCACCGCCACTATTGCAAAAAGTACACGGGCTAAAAGTTAACCCCCGCCACTTTTGGCCTATTTCTGATGTCCGGACATTTGAATATTTTAAAGCACTCGATTAAAAAAATAAAAATAAAATAAAAACGTATCTGCTTCAATAATTAGGGATGGGGTAAGGTTAAAGGTACCAAAATAAGGATCTTTTCATGGAAATTATTAGTCACATAACATGTCCCACTTTCACTCTCTTCAATAAAATCTAAAATTAAAAGTTTCGTATCTATCCCCTTTTTGTATAATTTTTTTTGGGTGGCGGGGGTTCACTTTTTATCTGGACAATATCCAATTCACCCCCCCCCCACGTCTACGCCACTGATTATTAACAATTAGAATATGAAAAAGCAACTTATCATTCAACTATATAGAAACTACAACAAGGAAAAGTTACAACGATCGTAAATGACAAAGTGAACTGTGTTTAGTGACGGTACAAAAGGGAGTGTTACATCGTGTAGAAACTAGGCCTAAATAGTTGAAATATAGCCTAAAGCTGAGTCAACTCGACGGGCTAGATTAGGAGGATTAAACTGAACAAGGAATTACACGGCCTATTTAATTAAACAAAACCGGTAGATCCAGAGGTTGACAATCTATTAACAATTAAGAGAGCTTAAACTTAACCTTAAATTAAAAGACCTTAAATCTAATACATTGTAAACACTCAATTAAGACACCTTAAACCTAACCTTAAACCTAGTACATTGTATACACTCAATTAAGAGACCTTAAACCTAGTGCATTGTAAACACACAATTAAGAGAGCTTAAACTTAACCTTCAACCTAGTACATTGAAAACACTCAATTAAGAGAGCTTAACCTTAAACTTAGTATATTGTAAACACACAATTAAGATACCTTAAACCTAACCTTAAACCTAGTACATTGTAAACACTCAATTAAGAGAGCTTAAACTTAACCTTAAACCCAGTACACTGTAAACACGCAATTAAAAGACCTTAAACTTAGCCTTAAACCTAGTACATTGTAAACACTCAATTAAGAGAGCTTAAACTTAACCTTAAACCCAGTACACTGTAAACACTCAATTAAAAGACCTTAAACTTAACCTTAAACCTAGTACATTGTAAACACTCAATTAAGAGACCTTAAACTTAACCTTAAACCCAGTACACTGTAAACACTCAATTAAAAGACCTTAAACTTAACCTTAAACCTAGTACATTGTAAAACTCAATTAAGAGACCTTAAACTTAACCTTAAACCTAGTACACTGTAAACACGCAATTAAAAGACCTTAAACTTAACCTTAAACCTAGTACATTGTAAACACTCAATTAAGAGACCTTAAACTTAACCTTAAACCTAGTACACTGTAAACTTTTAAGGCAATGGTAGTCTTTACAGAAGCATAAATGTCAAAATGACAAAATGAGAAGATAGACCTAAGCATTTGTTTCGTACACACATAAAGTATATATTTTCTAAATAAATAGTATTTTTCTATTTCATTCGGGGGAGGGGAGAGACCCTTACCCCGGGTGGAGATGCCTGAAAGAAACACGGGGTCTAAGTTACACACGCAAACACCAAACTGGTAGCTCTGTCTAGACATTGCCCATTGGTCGGTTTAAAAAAAAAATCAGCCCAGTCTCTTGTAAGGTCAGGAACATCAGGACATTGATGGAGCAATTCAGATCAAAGAAACATGATCCTCCCCCCCCCCTCCCCATGTGTCTTCTCGATTTCACGACGATCAATCTTTTTATACCACCCCCTCCACCCTCCCCCCCCCCCCTTTGTGTATCGATCACTTCTTCATTACAAGACAATCATATAAGCCACAGATTCAAGTATAGCGTGAAATTATTACAAGAAAAGCAGAACGACGTTGGATATGAAATCTGAGTCGGGTGTTTTCAATTAATGTTAAAACAAACACGAAAATATGCTGCATCTGAAAGCATCGAGCTGTTATTTTACATTGTAGTTATCGATGCAGTATTCTTGTACAGCTATAAGCTTTTATTTCACATTTGGGCAGTATTATTAGCAATATTATTGTATAGTAATAGGCTTTCAGTTCACATTATTTGTAGTCTTCAAGCCAAGTTTTGTTAGCAGCATTAGTGTACAGCTAGGATATTTCA